AAGTCTTAAGGGGAAAGCCCTGCTGTTGGTATGGTGAGGTAGGTGACCTAGATGTCAAAAAGGAAAATGGAAGTTCTCCAATTAGTTGAGAGCAAATCAGAGGACAAAAAGGAACAAAGAAATTGTGTTTCACGGTAAATGGAGAAGGAGGAAATATTTGTTTCTAAGTTCAGAGCACTGTTAAATACCTTTTGTAGGCAATGTTAAAAATAGGATTGTTTCAAGTAAAAAAGGCACTGTGGTTTTTGCAAGGCTTTATAAACCCTACTTGCTCAGAGACATCCACTTTAGACAAAAGTAAAACAATTTTGAGATTAAACAAGCTAGACTAGTCAGTAGCAGCCATTATGTCAGTGAGCCCAGGTCTAACAGATCATTAAATTATTTTGGGCAACTCTTTGCTCTGTTTTTCCCCAGCACCATCTTTAGTACTGATGGGGACCCACCACAGCAGCTTCCATACAGACCCACAAGGGCAGGGCCAGGATTCCTGTCAGGGAGAGATAATCTACTGCCACAAGGTCAAAGCTCAACACGATCTTCACATTTCCTACTCCTGGAAAGAGAAGCCATCCTGTCTGTGCTCACTCTTTGCAGCACAGTTAAGCCATGCTCTGACTGGGGGATTTGACAGGGGTGAAAGACACAAACACATTTTGGGGATGCAGAAAGAGCCTGTGATCCCTGTGACTGTAATGACTGCAGTGAAGGTGTCAGTGCAGGAAAGAGGGGACACTTGTGGATTTGGGAGTTTGGTCACATGTGTTTGGTTATGAGTATGTTCAGCAACTCCACCTGAACAGTTTCTACCCCAGAGATGATTTTGAGACACAGTAGGTTGGGGTGGACATGGTTCTGGACTGGGCTTTTCTATGCCTCTAAGTGTGTTTGAAGGCCTGGAGGCCAAGAATAAGGAGGATGATATCCATAAGTAACTGCTGGGAAAATCCTAAAGGATAACAGAGCATCCCTTTTTAAGGGGTACACTGGTGGGTTTGGACATAGGGCTTGGTGCATCTTTGTTCAGCTGCTTGAAGGCTGATTTTCCTTAAATCTGGCAATAAAACACATTCATCTCTAACTGTGTCAGCATACCCAGACCTCCTCACCTTGTTAAAACATCCTGTTCCCTGATATCTCAGCCTGTTCTCCAACATCCCAGCCTGTTCTTTTAGTAATCCAGAGCAGTATCCATCCACTTCTATACCCTCAGTGCCAAATCTGCTGGCACTTGGCTGTGCTTCAGCATCCTTGAGCACCCTGATACAGGAGAGAGGAATGGCAATCACCACTCTCATCCACTTTTCCTAAAACTCTCTAGTTCCAGCACAAGCCAGTAGGAAAGTTTGGTCAGCTGGGTTTCCAAATGGGCCCCTTCTTTAACAAAAGCTATATAAAATTAGCCGAAATGACAAGGTCACTAATTAAGATGCAGTAGCTTTAGGGAGTCACTGAATGCTCGGTGGTTTCAGGTGTGGAGAGGTGTGAAACAGAGCTGCTCTCAGTTGCTTACTTTCACTGATGCTGCTCCAACACCTACACTCACCTCAGCCTTCTGACTTGACACATTTTACAGTTTAGCCCCAAATTTATGACAGCTTTTCTGGGCTTCTCCTGGCCATGGAGCCAATCCTCTGGCTCTGGGATCTTTTCCACACAAGCTGGTGGGCACCAGGGAATAAACCTGCCCTGCAACAGCTGCACTCTGATGCTCTCAGGGAGGACTGAGAAACTTTGCTAGGTCTGAAGTCCCAAAATCCTGACTCATAGCCTTTGAATCATGAGACCAAAGTCCGCCGGTGGAGGTGGATTTTGAGGCCTATTTTTCACCTGTGAACTTCCCCTGCCTACAATGTTTAAGCAGTTTTACCTGCTTTTATATACATTGAATAATGTGGTCTTAAACGCAGTACAAGGATCTTTTGTCAACATTTCTCCCCCACCCACCAGACATTCTTCTCTCCTGTGCAGTCCCTCTCCAGCTAGCATGGCACTGGGACACCCAGATTAAGGAAGGATCACTTTTTAAAACTGGGCCTTTGTCAAACCTGAATTATGACAGTTCCCCTTAGTAATACCACAGCTGCTCATTTTAGCAAACTTAGCACATTTAGTACTATTGTGGGTTTCTAGATTGTGGAAAGGGAGAAGTGGATGTATGGATTTATGTAAAAACCTGCACTTAGGTATTTAAAAATCTACAGTTATTGAAAGTTCACATCTATGAACAGTGTTATCTCGAGGTAAATCCAGTATCTTTCCCTCCTCAGGAAAGATTGCTGAGCTCCTCCCCTCCTGAAAGGCAATTGATTAATAACTTCTCTCCTCCACCATATATCTTCTTTATTTTTATATTTATTATTACCTTTATTTTAATATCTTTGTAAGACTGCATATAGCTGCATTATATCTCAAATCTGCAATATATAATTAAATATAAAGGCTGTAAAACTAATCCCAGGGTCTTGCTGCTTTCAGCCTACAAATGCTGAAACTTGTTTTAACCAGCACTAGGCAAGAGAGGGGTTACCTGCTCCACCAGTGGAAGAAAGATATTTTAGGATACAGTTGTGCTCAGGCTGGATTCCCAGGATAGCTTTAAAACACTTTTTTCTCTAAACAGAGTTTTGAAACTATATAGTGTCAAGATTATATATTCATATATAATGTTCAAATTTGAAACAAAGTTGCTTGAAAATACATGGGTTTATGTTCAAATTTCAAATCATACAGCTTCAAATCCCGCCGTGTTGTGTGTGCCAGTAAAAATGCTTGATCTGATGGGTAACCAAGTGAAGCCATGGCTGTTTCTCCTTTTTATGCTGAGATTTGCTTATAGGAATGACTTCATTTACTAATTTGTTTATTAATAATGGAAAAAAAAATAAAGCAGTTCACTGAGTTGCTGGGCATGTGGGCCATGATCTGTTTCTGTTCAAAGCCACCATAAACACTTTTCCTTCTTTCAAGAACAGCAGAGCAAATAGCACAGCAATTTCTCAGTTTCAAGTTAAGAGAAACAAAGGTTTATCAGTCGATAATTTACAGGCAATTATTGTAAATTCTGCATGAGGAGAAGCCCAGGTTGAGACGTTGGAGGAGTGACACTGCTGGTGACAAGCACTGTAGGTGGCATAAATGTCACATCTGGGAACTGATGTGTTTCAATACAGATTTGAGTGTCCAACTGACATCCTGCTGGCACCCTCGTGTCAAGCCCTTCCAGGATGACATTCTACCAAGGAAAGCACACAGAATCCCCAGGAGAAACTCAGGTCCTCTTTCACCGAAGGCTCATTTATGCTTTGCACTGAAGGCTCATTTATGCTTTGCGACACTCAGGTTGTTTTCCTCTACAGATATTGGCGACTGGAAGGGAAGTGTGAAGGGAAAGTTTGTTTTCATTTTAACCATCACAGCAGTTATTTCACATTGTTCCTAATATCCACAAAAATGCCTCAAAACTTTAGGCTGTAACAATAATCCCTAGAAGAGATGGATGATCAGAAAAAATATTAGAAAATAAAAAATATATTAATTAATGTGCTTTGCTCATGTAATTGTACTCATGTTATGGATTTTACTATGTCCTTTTTTTTCTTCTGTCCCTGTGTATCTCAGTTGAGTTACTCAGAGACTTTCAACCAGTCTATGTCCAACTGTTGTGCTTTTTTTGACTTACCCTTCTCTGCCTTGTAACCATAACTGTAATTTTCTTTTTTTTACTTTTTCTAATAGTGGCTATTTTTATCACTTCAACTTCTCCTTTGGAAACTTAAACAGTTTCACATAAGCCGTTCATACACAAATAACAGGAAAAGAAAAGCAAAGTAAAGCCTTTTGCTTTCCTGCTTGTTTTCATTTCCCTTCTTTTGCACTTCAGTGTTACTGAAAAGACTTCTTGAGAAAAGATTAATGCAACTGGCCCAAATGAGCAGCAGGAAACACTGCATTTTAGGAGTATGAAATGTAATTATCTACTTGTCTAACAGCATGGACACAGCATAAGAATATTAGAAGAATGTAAATACAGAGCAGGCATGCAGCAAATCTTAGCAGATTACCCCATCTTCCAGTGATTTGTGCTCAGGTGCTTTGTGACTTCTCAAATATATCAGTACTTGCTCAGGTACTTTGTGATCTCTCTGTCCTGGAAAATGAGATGTTTTGCACACCTTGAAAGTGAGAATCATGCACATGATAACTGTGGTATGTCTCGTGCAGTGACTCTCACATAGAAAGAAGCCTCAGAGTGCTGACAAAAATACACTGACCTACGGATGCAAAACACAGCTGATGTAACACCTATGACTGGGGAGACCTAGCAGATGAGGAGAGGCCACAAAAAGTGAAAACAGCTACTGTGGAGAGGCTTGCTCAACTGAAGGATACAGGGCAGCAAAGATAACTCATTGGAACAGTTTGTATCACACAAATGCCTTCTTGGATATTGTTCATCCTTGCCATCATCACTACGTTTTATCCTTTATAAATGTTTGAAAATTGGTGGCTGTGATAAATCTCTTGAGTTCTGGTGCTCAAACCAAAACTGATCACCACAAATATTAATAGAAAATGGTGCGTAGTTTTTTTTCACTGGTGTAATTATTACTGGATTTCATTTGAATTAATACTTGAGATGCAGATTAGCCTCGACATCCCAGAGGAAGACAAAACTGGGAATCATCTGGGCTGAGCCAAGCATCAAACTATTAAACTCTAAAGGTCTGAGCAGATAGGAATGTCTTTCAACTGAAGAGGGCTGTAGAGGCACAGAGAAGTTGACTTTAGTCACAGGGTGGAAGATGTTCCTTCCTTCCTGTACTAACACAAGGTGTGACACCCCTTAAGGGCGTGTCAACACAAGAGAAAATGTCACCAGGAGAAATGTCATAAATTTTCTGCTGAGTGCTGCTTTGTGGTCTTCAGTTTGAGGGGGAAACCTCTCTGCAGGCCTGGAGAACTGAGTGGAGGCAAGTGAAGCTCTGAACTGGAGGTGGATGCAGTGGCCAGTGGAAGACTCTTCCCTGGACAGGGCTGAGAGCCTGGAGAAGGTGAGGAGTGCAGCAAATGGGTGGCCTCCTCTCCTCCTTCCTTGTATTGGGCTGGGATTTAGAGCACTCCTCCTCCAAAGCTCCAAAGCTTCAGGACAGTCCTTCAGCACCTGATTTTCTTTTCAAGTGTAGGTCCATGCCCATGGCTGCACTTTGTCAGCTGAGGCATCGTGCTTGGCACTGACAGCCATTTACACGTGAAGGTCTCTTCGGCCCAGCCCCAGCCCTGTGGCTTAGTCCATATGCCAAACACCAAGGAAAAATGCCTGCTCTGGGCAGGTAGCTTAGAAAGTCACAGGCATCTCCTTCCTGAGGCTCCCTCATGGGTGCTGAACATGGGAAGGAGACTTGGAGCAAAAGTGAGAGGGGAGGAGGCAAGACAAACAAACAAACAAGCCATGTGTCCCCAGAACTCTTCCATTGTTTGCTGCCCTGCACCATCACTGACTGCACTGGGGGAAGCCCTACAGAAAGGAGAATATTCAGATAAGCACAGGATCAGGAGAAGTGAGCAAAGCCAGGAGAAGGGAAGAAGAGAGCACCCTCAACCAGCCCTGAAGGTGTTTTTATGGAGGTGTGTGGGGTAGACAAGCTGATGAGTAACTGAAGTGGTGTGTGACTTGTGCCCTGTCCCTGCCCTGGATGTCACCATCTGCCTCACTTTGAGCTGTATTCACCTGTTGTGCTTTACCACAGAAAGGGAGGTCTCCAAGATTCTCTGTGCTGTGCAGGTGTACAGCAGCTCTGTGGTGTACAGGTGTCTGTGCTGTGCAGGTGTGTACAGCAGCTCTGTGCATTGCAGGTGTGTACAGCAGCTCTGTGCTGTGCAGGTGTACAGCAGCTCTGTGGTGTGCAGGTGTACAGCAGCTCTCACACCACCAGGCGTGCTTTGAGTTGAGGACAAGCTCTGTATGTCAGTTCACAGACGAGGCCTGGGCAGAGAACCACTGATGATCCCTAGATCAGGCACCTTTTTTTATCCCCTCTACACAGCAGTTTGGTAGGTGGCCCAAAAGAGACCCTTTCTCCTCCACCAAATGTGGCAGATGCTTAGAGGCAGCAAAAACCACATCACCACCAGCCCTTATTGCAACCACCGTGTTCATAAGTTAACACTAGCTCAACCTTCTTCCAATATCCAACCTAAACCTCCTCTGACACCACTTCAGGCTGTTCCCTCAGGTCCTGTCGCTGGTCTGAGTACTGTGCCACCTTCTCCACACAACAGTGAGGATTTTTCTCCAGTCATTGTGAAGATGGGACAATAATGAACTCAGCCTTTTTTTCAAATATGTCTAAGCTGATCTACAACTTCATACTCATCTGCCTTATTTCTGTAGACTGATCCCCATGTGAGATTTTGGGTGCAGGTGATACTGTGCTTTGAGTTGAGGACAAGCTCTGTATGTCAGTTCACAGACGAGGCCTGGGCAGAGAACCACTGATGATCCCTAGATCAGGCACCTTTTTTTATCCCCTCTACACAGCAGTTTGGTAGGTGGCCCAAAAGAGACCCTTTCTCCTCCACCAAATGTGGCAGATGCTTAGAGGCAGCAAAAACCACATCACCACCAGCCCTTATTGCAACCACCGTGTTCATAAGTTAACACCAGCTCTACCTTCTTCCAATATCCGACCTAAACCTCCCCTGACACCACTTCAGGCTGCTCCCGCAGGTCCTGTCGCTGGTCTGAGTACTGTGCCACCTTCTCCACACAACAGTGGGGATTTTTCTCCAGTCATTGTGAAGATGGGACAATAATGAACTCAGCCTTTTTTTCAAATATGTCTAAGCTGATCTACAACTTCATACTCATCTGCCTTATTTCTGTAGACTGATCCTCATGTGAGATTTTGGGTGCAAGTGATACTTGGCATGAGGAATGATGGCAGTTTTAGCATTTACAGTATGATTTTAAAATGGGAACTGACAAAAAGGAGATGGATGATTTTATGTCCAGGGGCAAAAATTACGATCCCCCTTGAGAGAGCTTCCACATAGCCACCAAAATCCAGTCCAACTCTCAGAGGTGGAGGAATGTGACCCTCTCTTTCTCAGTTCATGTCTGAGGAGGAACCTTTCAAACATCCTCCATCCCACTTGCTCCACTGACATGTCATGTTGGCACCTATGGGACCATAACCCTTACTGACATATTTTTAAATGATGCAATGCTAACTTTCCACCAAACATCCTCCATCCCACTTGCTCCACTGACATGTCATGTTGGCACCTATGGGACTATAACCCTTACTGACATTTTTAAGTGATGCAATGCTAACCTTCCACTTTGTCTTCTGATTCTCAGGAAATATCAGCTGGAAAAAGAATAATGGAACGCTGTCTACATGAAAATTGTAACTCCACTTGCCCAGAAATTCCTTATCAAGAGAGTCAGACACTTCTGGTTGTTGTTTACAGCATCGTTTCTACTATAGGTCTTCCAGCAAATTGCTTAACTTCTGTGCTTACATATGTACAAATCCGAAGGCAAAAAGTAGTTGCCATCTACATTTTCAGTTTATCATTGTGTGACCTGATGTATTTAAGTACCCTGCCTTTGTGGATTATCTATGTGCAAAACGGGCACAAGTGGACCTTGGGTGACACTGCTTGCAGGGTAACAGGATTCATCTTTTTCTGCAATATCTATATCAGCATTCTGCTTTTGTGCTGCATCTCTGTGGATCGTTACATGGCAGTGGTGCATCCTCTGAAATCAAGGGGGAGAAGAGAACAGACAATAGCCACCATAATAGTCTGTCTTCTCTTTGTTCTGGTTGCAGGAATCCACACTCCAGTATTTTTTATGGAAGATAAGCAAAACTGTACAGAGTTGAAAACCTGCTTTGAGACAGTTCCCCTTGACAAAGTATTGGCTTATTTCAGTTTTGCTAGATTCCTGTTTGGATTTTTCATACCCTTCCTAATCCTGTGTTTCACAAACTACAAAATTTTCCAAGCTATAAAAAGAAGCAGCAGCTTGACTTGTCGCGAGAAAGCCAAAGTGAAGCATGTGGCTATTGCCATTATTGTTATTTTCTTGATGTGCTTTGCTCCATACCATGTGGTTCTCTTAATAAGAGCCATACACTTTCTGGTTCATCCGGACTGCCCATGTCCATTTGAAAATAAGATATATTCAGTTTTTACAGTGTTTCTGTGTTTAGGCACTGCAAACAGTGTTGCTGATCCAATCATCTACGTTCTGGTCAGTGAAAACGTCAGAGAAGACTGTTATAGGTACCTGAGAAGATGGAGATGGAGATGGAACTCATCCAAGCTAAATTCATCCACCGATCACAATACTGACAACATAAAATTGGAAACGCTAAAAGAATCAGAGGAAGGGGGCCAAAGAAAAGAAAACAAAGAAATAACAGATTCACCTGACATTCAGGAGGCCTGTACCAGTGGCAGAGACCAGGAAAGTGGCACTTAGCTGGTAGCTGCTGGAACAAATAAGAAGTTCCCAATGCCAGCTTCAGGACAGGAGTTTTTAAGTGCTGACATCATCTTGCACATCCTGCATGGGCCATTAACTCCTTTTGAGGACACTATTGGAGCAGTAATTCACATTTCTGCTTGTCTCCTACAATTAACTTTGCCCACCAGTACCACTGATGAACATACTGCTTTGCTAAGGATATGTGAAATAAATGAAGTAATTTACTTTGACTCAAATTGGGATCTTAAACATTTTTATTTTTGGACTGACTCTTTCTGTCATATGAAATAAAACCTGTTTTATCTTCTGAGCAAAAATTTAAAAAAGCATTGTAGAGGAGGACAATATACTGTTCTTAATGTTGAAATTTTTGCTTCTTGAGAAGGTACATGTTCCAGTTCTCATACGTGAGCTCTGCTGTTAATGTTTGTGGTTAACCAGTGGAAAATATTAAAAATGAGTAAATATCTACTCTAGTATGTAACTTCAGATTCACCACACATTCCAGGAGAAATAGATGGCAAAAAAAATGCCTGATAACACAGACCAACAGTATTGCTGCTGCATTAGTCAAGATCCCGCACTGCCCTGAAATTCTTAAAATGTACAATTCTAATGCTTGATAGTTTACAATGAGTAATTTTTATTTGTTTTGCAGTCAGACCCAGAATGTACTGAAATATACAGAAAATGTATACATTTCCAAGTGGAGTCAGGGACTGCTTTTATGCCATCTCCAAACATTCATTGAACTTGTGATTCGTTTCTGACTAAGCTAACCATTCCCTTTTGTTATTGATCCCACTTTTACTGTGTAGGAGTCTGTAGAAGCTATGAGTAGGATCACAGATGGTATGGAAGGTTGGTAGTCTGGAGAGCACAGTCCTTCCTCCCCACAGCTGGGAACTCCCTCAAACATTGTGAGAGATGGTCTGAAGTTCCCCTCGTCTGCCTCAAGACCATCCCAGGGACATCAGGACCCTCAGGACCCTGATGGGAATTCTGGCCTGCCTGAGGTGAATGAACCAAAATTCTGAGGCCCCTGAGCAGAGTTCTGGCTTGCCAAGTGATTGTTCACAGCTGCGTCTACAGGTGCTGCTTCTAGCAGGGGGCAACGTGCCCTATACAGCGTGCCCTATACAATGTGCCCTATACAACGTGCCCTATACACTTGCACCTGCTTCGCAAAAACAGACCAGGAATTTTCTCACCTCTTGGCCAGGTGAACTTGCTGGGGCAACTTTGGTAGCTCCCCCATGGAAAATCCTTATCTGCTCCACTGCCACCATGCCAGATGGAGATTGAAGCCCCCTCCCAAGCACTGAGACTGAGACCCCTATAATTCTGATACAGGGGGGGGTGCTGGCCTGACTAAAGCAAGATGCCTGCTAAGTGTTGCCTGCAGGTGTGTTCACTGGACCTAGACTGGTTTCCCACAGAAACCAGTCCTGAAACAATGGGTCCTGCTCACTGCTGATACTGACTTATCCTGCTGAGAACATGGACTGTCTGTACCCATCTTCAATACCTTTTTCCCCCTCAGCGATTTCAATAGACTTATTCTTTATTGTATCTGTTCCCCCTTAGCAATTTCAAGATGTGTTCCCTCCCCTCAGCAATGTACTGTAATAGAACCCTGAGATAACCAGGACTTTGAGATCTCCCTGACGTGACTAGGAGAACTCCATCGACTGGATCATAAGAACTTCAGCTCTCTACATTTGGTAGCTATACCCTCTCTCTTTATCCCTCTCTTTCTCTATTTTTTTCCTTTTTCCTAATTCCATTTGTTGTTGTCATTCAATAAAAGGTGCATTTATTTTGATTGATATTGCAATCCCCTGTTGGTTTTTTTTGCACTCTGAGAGCAGCCAATGAACCATCATGACCCCTGTTTGTATGAGCGGTTTGTGACAGACATGCTGGGGCAAATTCCACTGTTGCTGCTACCACCACTTCTATTATAATAACTTGTTGGCAGTAGTTCCTTGTGCCTTCAAACACAAATTTAAAAAATAAGATTTATACAAATCTAGCAATGTTTATCTAAACAACTTCTTCATATTTTTATGTGATTCAACAGACAGATCAGGAACCAGCTTGAGTATGAGTTTGTGGAGTGTTTCACAGCATCATTCCATTTAATCTGTGGAGTTGTATTTCTGTGACATGTTGAAATTGTTATTGACTTTGACATTTCTGCATTGAATTAATATTAACAAATCTTAATATAAATACAATACTTATTATCTTAAAATTGCCATAGATATTTCTGTGCTTTATTCTTATATATTCTTATACTTTTGTAAAGAACCATTATGCCAAAATTATATATCCTCCATTTATTATATTTATTACATATTTCATTTTTTTAATTGTTTAATGACTCCTCTGGTATTTATATGTGAAATGTTTTTGTCCTCAAAAGTAGTCCACATAATACTAAATTGTTTCTTGGAAGAACGTGATTGTTTCTTGGAAGAACATGGAATTCTGTTGCGGTGCTAATTAAAAAATTCAGGATTTTTATTTTTATATGCATCTCAGAGATCAAATTCTCTAAGGTATCATGGAGAGACCTGCAAGGTGCTGACTATCTGTAACTTTCAACTGCTAAAGAATTCTGCAGCAGCAGTAGCAGAACATGGCTGCTGAGAGCCCCTGCCAGCCAGAGCACTGGTGACTCATCTCTGAAGATGCACATGCAAACTGCCCTGACCTCAGGATTTTCATAGTCTGAAATCAAACCTTATTGAATAATAGCAGTGAATTTAGAAGAAACTAGAGGTACAGGCTTCTGAACTGATTGACACGGATGCAAGCTAGCTATTGACCTAGAAGAATTTAAACATCTCTGATGATTTTCCTGTGATAAAATGTGAGTGTTGAGGGGGGGGATTGTCCTGCTCTACATTGAGCTGGTGCTGCCTCACCTCAAATCAAGTGTGCAGGTTTAGGAGCCACCATATAAAAATGACATTAAGCTATTAGAGAACAACCAAAAAAGGGCCATGAGGATGGTGAAAGCTCTGGAGGGGAGGATATGAGGAGTGTCTGAGGTCACTTGGTCTTTTCAGCTTGGAGACTGAGGGGAGACCTCATCATGGTTTACAGCTTCCTCATGGTGGGAACCAAGGGAGCAGACACTGGTCTCTTCTCTGGTGACAGGGACGGGACCTGAGGGATGTCCTGAAGCTGAGTCAGAGGAGACTTAGGTCAGATGTTAGAAAAAGGTTCTTCACCCAGAGGGTGGGTGGGCACTGGAACAGGCACCCCAGGGAAGTGGTCACAACACCAACCCTGAGAGAGTTCAAGAAGCATTTGGACAATGCTCTCAGGTACGTGATGTCTTGAGGCTGAAGTCACTCAGTTTGTTCATCTGGAGGAAGCTGAGGCCAGACCTCACTGGAGGCTGCAGCTCCACCCGAGGGGCAGCTCTGCTCTCTGCTCTCTGTGACCAGGGACAGGTGCCGAGGGAACGGCTGGAGCTGTGGCCAAGGACAGAGCAGATGTTAGAAAAAGGTTCTTCACCCAGAGGGTGGGTGGGCACTGGAACAGGCACCCCAGGGAAGTGGTCACAACACCAACCCTGAGAGAATTCAAGAAGCATTTGGACAACGCTCTCAGGTATGTGATGTGATTCTCAGGTGCCCTGCACAGAGTCAGGAGTTGGACTTGATGACCCTTGTAGATCTCTTCCAACTCAGGATATTCTACAATTCTATGAACCAACACTGGAACCCAGTGCCATAGATTAAAGGGACAGGGATTAAAAGGGTCTGCTGCAACAGCTGCAGTTCTTCTGCCTTAGTGAAGCTGCATGCTGTTCTAAATTACTGTGTCATTCTGTATCTTCTCTTACGACAATCCTTGGAGTTTCTCTGTTCAGACACACTCTAGATTAAAGGGACAGGGATTAAAAGGGTCTGCTGCAACAGCTGCAGTTCTTCTGCCTTAGTGAAGCTGCATGCTGCTGTAAATTACTATGTCATTCTGTATCTTCTCTTAATGACAATCCTTGGAGTTTCTTTGTTCAGACACACTCTGAAACAAAAGATTTAGAAGTGACAAAGATTTGTGCAGCCTGATCTAACTTAAAAATTTACCTAGATAATCTCCAGAGGTGCTTTTCAAGATAAAATATTCTGTGAGAGATTACTGAAGGAGTTAGGGGCCTGGTACCAAGCAATGTATCCACACGGGAAAACTGCAAATGCTGACTTCTTTGGATAAACAGAAAAGCAGCTTTATGGCTGAGTGAGGACATCAAGAAACATTCCATGTTGTTAAAATATCCCATCAGATAAAGTGACTGTTTCGTGTCTGGTAATTCAAGCACACAATCTATTTTTTGTCAGACAGTATCTGACTGTGCCACTCAGGCAAAGGAAAGGTCTCAGCACTGGCACAAGTGTGAGACACACACAGCAAAGGGCACTTCTCCATTCAGAGCAGATCTGAGGGGTGGACTGATTGTGTGGGTCTTTCCACCCTTTTCTCCTGCAGAGACACCACCAGTGAGCCCACAGGGAGTGCTTCATGCTTCATGTGAAGAAAGGTTCACCTGCTACATCGAATGTGCAGTTCTCAACACAGCCATCTGGATCTGTACCCATATGGATCTGGCTCCCAAATTCTCCAACTCAGTCCAAGCTATGAGATGAGTTAGAGAGAGCACAGAACCAAACCAAGGCTGTGCCTCCCAATTTGGTCTTTAGATGGCCAGGTCTCCACACATAAGGTGCACAGCAGGTAAGCTCTGGGATTAGAAAATTTCACTCTTTTATACTCAGCATTTACTTAGGTATAACTTCCATCATTTGACTAAAAGAAGAGTGGGCTACAGTATAAATAAAACATTATTTTATTTTTAAATGTGTCTCAGACACTTATAATGTACATGGGAGATAAGCTCATTGCTTATTATTTTAAGTATGACTATAAAACACAAAGCAAATAATTTCTGGCTATGAACTAGAGCTGGCCAGACTAGTTTTTGCAGACAATATATGTGATTTGATTGCTTATTCATCAATTTTAAGTTACATCTGAAGACTGCAATTTTTTTAAGTAAATGTTTAGGGTAACTCACTTATAAAACTTTATTCCTGACTAAGAAATGTTTTCATGTTCTGTATTAAATTTTGCCTCAGGAGGATTGCTAAAATTTTTCGACAAAGCTGGCAAAACCCCACAGGAATGAGCTCAGACTGTCCATGTGTGATAAGTTTCTACTGCAGTTGGTCACCTTGTGACTGT